AAAAATAATTTTAAAAAATAAAAAATATATATTATTTTGATATATTTTCAAATAATTTTTTTAAAAATAATTATTATAATATTTTCAAACATTCCTTTAAAATATAAAAATATATTTAAGAGTGGTTCAGTTCATGCTCGCAAAGTTCGGCCTAACTTGGCTTCTGTTAGTAAACTCAATGACTTATTATCTCGAGGTGTGATTTTAGCTAAGTTTTATATCAGATTGTTTTTATATTAAAATAATATTATTTTAATTTTTTTAAAAGAAATTGTAAAATGATATGTTGTCTTAAGTTTTTTTTAAAAAAATTAAAACTAAAATTAATCTATTAACCCGAAAATTAACATACTAAATTCACACCCCTAGCCTCGAGTCAAGTGCATCTTACAACTATGGCTCAGTTTTTAGCATAGATACAAAGATTAAAATTTTTACAACTATGGCTCAGTTTTTAGCATAGATACAAAGATTAAATTTTTTTTATTAAAATTAACAGGAGATGCAACTAATTTCAAACTTTCTCCTTGTTATGGAATTATAACTATACTAAATGATTTTGAGTCAATACAAGATGGCATAGTCACATGCTACTGCTGCTTATAAAATAAATATATTTAATAATATTATAATTATGAAGTAATATTAAATAAGTAATATAAACTAAAAGTATAATGAAGTTAATATTTCATAAAAAAAAAAGATTATGTTGATAATAAAAAACTTAGAGACTAAACATAATAATTTATAGTAATTTACAGTATTTTGTGTGGAAAAATACAGTATTTTTGCTACATGATTTAGCTTTTCTGTTATGAAAAAGCAAAAAAAAATACAAAACTAAATTCTTTATCAACTTAATATTAAAAAAAATCGACAAAGATAATTTGAAAAGGAATCATTAAAAAAACCATTTAGAGAAATATTATAGCAATTGATAATGTTTTATGAGGAAAACTATAGTGTTTTTTTCAATACAATCGACAAAGATAATTTGAAAAGGAATCATTAAAAAAACCATTTAGAGAAATATTATAGCAATCTATGGTGTTTTGTGAGGAAAACAACAACGATTTCCCTATATGATTTAGTTTTACTATAATTATAATTTTTAACTAGCTCAATATTAAAAAAAATTGATAAAGATAATTTTGAAAAAAAATCATAAAACAAATCATGTGGAAAAACACTGCAGTAATTCATAGTATTTTAAAAAAAATTACAAAACTAAATTCTCAATCAACTCAATATTAAAAAAATAAAATCAATAAAGATATTTTTAAAATTTAAAAAAAAAACACAAAAAAAAGAATTAAAAAACCATGCTGGAAACACTATAGCAACTTACAGTGTTTTGTAATGAAAGTTACAATATTTTCCGACATGATTTGGTTTTATTTGTAATGACTTATAATTGTAATTCTCAACCAGTTCAATATTAAAAAAATAAAATTGATAAAGATAATTTAAAAAAATCATAAAAAAAACTATGTGGAGAGATGCTATAACAATCCATAATGTCATATGAAGAAAGCTACAATGTTTTCCTCACATGATTAAGCTTTATTACAAAGTTAAATTCTAATCAGATTAATATTATAAAAATATTATAAAAAAACACAAAAGAAATTGAAAAAAATCATGTAAGAAAAAACTATATTAATCTATAGTATTTCCTGAGAAAAGTTACAGTGTTTTTCCCACATGATTTAGCCTTACTTGTAATTGTAATTCGTAAGTAGCTTAATATTAAAAAAAAAATACAAAGACAATTTTCATATGAAAAAAAACTGTATTAATTCATAGTATTTTGTGATGAAAATTACAATGTTTTCCCTACATGATTTAGCTTTACTTGTAATTATAATTCTTAACTAATTTAATATTAAAAAAAATAAAATTTACAAAGAAATTTTTTTAAAAAAAAACAAAAAAACAATGTGGAAAAAAACAATGTAGCAATCTACAATAATTTGCGAGGAAAGCCATATTGCTTCCCTCACATATTGTAATTGTAATTCCTAACCAACTCAATATTAAAAAATAAAATCTAAAAAGATGATTTTTGAGAAAATCATTAAAAAAAACCATATGAAGAAATATTATAGTAATCAACAATGCTTTAAATAAAAAAATATAAAACTAAATTCTCAATCAGCTCAATATTAAAAAATAAAAAAGAAAAATATAATTTTAAAAAATAAAAAAATAAAATAGAAAAACCATGTAGTAAAACATCGTAACAATCCATAGCATTTTAGGAAAGAATTGCATAATTTTTTTTTAACTAGCTCAGTATTAAAAAAGTAAAATTAACAAAGATTATTTTGAAAAAAATAAAAAAAATAATGACAAAAAAACAAAAAAACAAGAGGAATGCACTGTGGATTACTGTTGTAATCCACAATGCATTGGGTATAGGTGAATAATGAATTCCCCATGCGCTTTAACTTATTACTTAATAACTTTATTGTTTATATTAATAGAGCTCTTCCTTTTCTTCTCTGTTTTTTTTTCATCAATTGCCTCATTTCCCTTTCTATTTTTTTGTTCGCCTCCCTTTTTTATTTCAAATTTATTGTTTTTTTTTAAAATTTTATCCTCAAATTTTTTTAACAATTGTCATAAGTCAAGTTAAATGAATCACATCTCTAATGCATTTAATTTCAAACCTAGTCTAAGCAAGCTATTTATATGAACAATTAAGCTCCTCCTTTTTTTTCTTTTAATTGCCCCCCCTCCCCTCCTATATTTTTCCATTCTCTCTTTTTATTTTTGTTCTTTATTTTTTTTCAATTTCATCCTTATCTTTTTTTTTTTAACAATCATCTTAGTTTTTTTATATATATATATATATATTGGTCAAGTTGACTAAATTACATAAAAACAACTCTCGTGTAATTTAATTTCAAACTAGGCTAGGCAAGCTGTTTATATTAACGATAAACCTTCTCCTTTTTTTTTTCCAATTGCCCCTTCCCTCTTAATTTTTCTACTCTTTTTTTTTATTTTAAATTTGTTAATTCTTTTAATTTTATCCTAAAACTTTTTTCAATAACTATTTTGAAGTATTAATCAAGTTGAATGAATTACATCAAAACAATTTTTAGATGGTTTAATCTCAAACCAAGCTAAGCAACGAGTCGTGTTGTTAAGTTAAATTCATTATTCATTATTTATTTTTAATTTTAATCTTGTATTTTTTACTGATCAATTAGGATATTTTTGAGGTAATATTAAGACAACTCGTATATAATTTAGTTTTAAATCTATATTAAATAAAAAATTAAATCAAAAGATTTTAATATTGAATCCACCAGCATGTTTAATAAAAATATAAAAAATTCTTTATCATTTAAATATTTTTTATTATATTAAAAAAAACTAATTTGAATTGCATTAGCGTGTCGCGTGTAAACTAACAGAAACTACATCGTTTGTAACCCGAATTTAATGAGAGGTCAAACAGAGGAGTCTGTCAAGGTGTTTTCCGAAGCTAAAATGACATTCGTAATCTTCGCAATACAGCTAGCCTTTATTTATTTATTATTTTTCACGTAATCTGCTAGTATTTCATTTGAAGGGATGCAGCAGACACCTACCCAAGTCGTCGTCATCATCAAGATCAAGTAGTAGATGTGACAAATGACCTAACTTGAA